AATTACACGTGAATTACACATTACACATGTGTAATTACACATGAGGTGGCAACACTGATCATTTGTAAGCACGATAAATTTGTATATGTTTAATATAAAATACATGGAAAAACATTACTAATCGTGAACATGTATTAAAACTGAAAAATATTATTCAATATTTTATATGAATTAAGCTCTCAAGAATATATTACTTCATTACTCTTATTGTATTGCGTATATATTAAATGTTTTGGATATTCAAAAAATAATGTACACTTCAAATCAAGTCTTCTATTATGTTACTCGGCGTGGGGTAGAAAACATTTCTTCCTTTTTATACCCTTCACCACACTGTGGTACAGGGTATTATGTCTTTGTGCATATGTTTGTAACAGGCAAAAGGATACGAGATAGACACATGGTTCCTTTTGAGAATATGCATAGAATCACTTTCTAAGTCGATTTCTGCATGTCCGTCCGTCTGTCTGTCCATGTGAAATTGTAAACAAAGTACAGGTCGTATTTATGATCCGAATTGGATGAAATTTGGCATAGGTCACTTATTCGGCCCAGGGACGAACCCTATTAAAATTGGGAAAAATCGGTTCATATATATATATATATTATTTGCACGAATTTTGGTACAGCCTAATCATTTAGGTCTAGAATGATGTCTGGCACGTTTCGTGAAAATCGGTCCAGATTTAGATATAGCTCCCATATATAGTTTCTTCCGATTTCATGTAACTGGTGCCCCAAAGTCCCTATATATCTTGCGTTTTGCACGAAATTTGGCAAAACGTACTGAATTGAGCCTAGAGTGATGTCTGCCAAGTTTCGAGAAAATCGGTCCAGATTTATATATATCTACCATATATAGTTTCGTCCGATTTCATGTAAATGGTGCCCAAAGTCCCTATATATCTTGCGATTTGCACGAAATTTGGCATAACGTACTGAATTGAGCCTAGAGTGATGTATGCCTTGTTTCGTGAAAATCGGTCCAGATTTACATATAGCTCTCTTTTATTATAGATGAATTTTAAATAATTGACGCACCAAGGAACCAATTCTGAAATTAGTATAACCTAACCTGTGACAAGTTTGTTTGAAATCGCTTAATATTTGGATAGAGCTTCCATATATATTTTCGCCCGATTTCAAGTAAATTGGGCATCAAACTCCTCATGTTAGTCAGATTGACATCAAATTTAGCAAAACGTACAAAATTGAGCATAGAATTACGTAGTTGCGTTTTCTAGAAGTACAGACATAGCCTAACGGATGACCTATTTATATTTGTTTGAAATCTGTTTAGCTCAGAGGGTCTCCGCCGAAGGGAGTCGATACGCCGAATGCGTGGAGCAGTGGACCGTAGGGGAGGGGTGTAGTGAGACCGTGACAACGTCCGAATGACAGTATGGTACTCCTTGATGCTAAAAGGAGGCGCCAAAAACAAGTGACAAGTAATTACTCGTTAAAATGTCATCGGCGCTAAACCAAGGTTGCAATAAACCGTAGCGCATACATTTTAACGAATAATTAAGGACCAAACCAGGGGTCAATAAAAATTAGTATTTTTATACAAATCTAAATTAAACAAAATCGATTTACATACTTTATGGATAGATCTAGGTAGATTCACATTTAGATAAATATAACATATTTTATTTCATCCAATTTCATGTTAATAGTCCTGTTTAACATACCCATAGTGGTGAAGGGTATCATGTAGTCGGCCCCGTCCGACTTTAATACTTTCCTTACTGGTTTGAAATAGATTTTCGTCACATAGCAACGGAAATATTCTTCGACTTTTTTAGATACCTTGTCAAAAATTTTATACATACATATGGGAAATTACAAAATTCTTTTAAAATTCCATTAAAAAAAAAATTGAAATTTTTTTGCGAGCACATTCATGATTTTTGGCACATAGTTTAAGAAAAATGTGCTGATTCGAAATATGTTCGCGTTCACAAATTCGGATGCTGCGCAATATTGGTCCTAGACCCACCTTTAAGTATACCGATCGTCATATCTCGACTAGCTAAGTCGATCTAGACATGTGTGTCCGTCCGTCCGTCTGTCCATTATAATTTGTAAACACGATACATGCCACAGTTATGGACCAATCTTCACGAAATTTTGCATGTAGGATGGGTTCTTGCCAATGAAGACCCCTATTGTTTTTGGGAAAGATCGATTAATATTTAGGGGATGAAATGGACCAAATACTAAATTTTTGTCGGGTTTTCTGGTCGCTCCAGAGGCCGCAATTATGGCCCAAACATCGTGAAATTTTCCATGGAGAAGGGGATCAGGCCAAAGAATAAGCGTGCCTGTTTTCATAAAGATCGGTCAATATTTAGTGGGTCAAATGGACCCTGACTTTTGTGTGAGAAATGACAAAATTTGTATTCTATAGCGTATATATTTACCCCTAAAGGACATAGACCCCAGAAGTTTATATTATATCCAAGAGGAGTGGTTGACCTTTAAATTAATACAATTTATATTGTTGTATGTGCTCGGATGTGGGAGTTACACCTAAATATTTACAGGTATCTCCGTATTCGTATATTATTTAGTAACCCATTATCACTCTAGAGAGCGGAACTATAGCGCTGATCGCTTTGAAATGTTCCATGAGGTTCCAGTTATGGTCAAGGACAACGTCTATAATTTTCGGTGATGATCAGATAATAATTTTGGAATGAAGTGGACCGAAAACTGAATTTTTTTGTATTATTATCGAGTCGATCTATATACCACAAATGTAAGCCGAACATCACAACACAACCCACGGTGAAGGGAATCTGGACAATAGCTGTACTGAATACTCGTAATATTCGGAAAATATGTCAGTTTGAGGAAGAGTTGCTGTTTACCACTAATCGGGCAAGAGGGTGCAAATATCACGATATATTGCCCAGGCTCGGAATATACATCCGCAGAAAATTTGAGTTCCGCGGTAGTTGTGTAGGGTATCGTATGGTCGGCCCCGTCCGACTATACTGCTCCGCTCACTGGTTTTGGTATGGTTAAGGGAATACGGTTTCGCCTTAAACTTCTAAAATATGCGACGCTTTTTTCTTCAAATTCTTTAGATGATTGTTAAATATCGGTATATTCATCTGATAACAGTTTCGACTGTAAAAGTGAATAAATATATTGCAGTTGCAAACTATCAATATTTAAAAGGATGCAATTCGCGTTTTAGCTGCAATCAGTTGATGCGCATGCGGTTTGCGTATAAACCGAATCAATGTCTTTCAATAATTATGAATTGTTCGATGTTTAATTTAGTGGTCAAAGTGTGCCGCTCGATGCACTTTACTATGCAAAACCCCTAAAAATGGCTAAAAATCACGCAACGTGCATACGATTTTTATGCGCATCCGATTTCAGTAATCTCCTCTGAACATACACAAAAGGACACCTATTTTAAAAGGATCGGTGAAGAACAGCGGATGTGCCTCCACAATCGATTTTGGATAAAATACGCATATTATTCGCGTATCGATATATTTTTGACCTATTTTCATACAGATTGGCGAAAATGATAACACAAGAATGAAGGTATGTGATATCAGTTCGAAGAAAAACGCAATTATATACGCGAATTTGTCAAAATAAGTTTTTGCAGTTTTTCCCACATTCAAGGTACCTATATCCGCCGTTTTATTGGGCGGAATTGAACATGGATGGGCTCATTAGATCCGGCACGTAAAAAAAATAAAATCACGCGGGGTTCCACGGAATTTTAATGGACTTCCTTAATTTTAGACTCAAAAAATATGTTTTTTATAAAAATTTACGCACCAAATTTTCGTCTTTGGAACCCAATTGCAAAGAAGCTACGCTGAGCACATTCATGAGATATACACGAAACGAAACAAAATCACGAGTTCTACAATCCTATAATTAGTTTAGTCCATTGTCTAGATGCGCATCACAATTATAAGAAAAATTAAAAAAAAAAAAACACCGAAAATCCGGCTTCAAAATGTCAGCATCCTTTTAGGGTGGATGCAGTGATTATATCGAAAAATCATACATTAGAATCATATTGTCTATGGGGTATTCTGCAACTTAGTCACTGATCATATGTGCGTGCGCTGTGTAGTTTAGACACAAATCAGGAACGAACACAAAAAACTCGTTGGCTTCAACACATTTTCACCCATTTTTTTTTTTACATTACCACCATCACAGCTTCCACCAAACTTATTATTTATTACCAATATTTTAAGATTTTGACAAGAACACTTCATTTTATGGAGCATATTTCCAATTTGTAAGGTTCGGGACAAAGAATTCCATTATTTTTTCGACAGAAAATGTCGATAAAATCGAAGAAATGACTCAAGTTTACCGGCTGTTAGCTGTCGTAACATCGCCCAGGAGGTAAAAATCGACCATAAAACCGTTTTAAACCATTTATACAAAGCTGGATTCAAAAAGAATGTCAATGTTTGGGTGCCACACAAATTAACAGAAAAAATAGAATGGTCACACACATCTACAATGACTCGTCAGAAACTTCGGGAGCTTGGTTGGGAAGTTTTAATGCATCCGCCATACAGTCCGGACTTGTCACCAAGCAATTATCATCTTTTACTTTTTTGATAAAAAGAATAGAGAGCAGGACTTCTATGAGAGAGGCATTATGAAGTTACTTTTAAAATGGCAAAAAATCATACAACAAAACGACTCAAATCGGACATTCCGAAGCATGTTAAATGAAGTCCTATAGTTCATATAAAAATAATGGATTTCATTTCCCCCAACCGAATATTTTACAAAAATATTTCTCATTCGATTTGAAATGTCATCTCAAAAATAACTTGCATTATTCCCAAAAAAAAAATATAGAGCTTTCTTCTTACTGAAATATAGGGTCATCAGAAAAAAGCCGATTTGCCCCTCTGGATTCTTAATATATTTTTCATCCCCCAAAAATTTGGTTTCACAGTGTAATTTACATTTATTACAATTTTATCATCAATTTACAGATACCTTTTCCATGACCTGAAAGTATTTCACTATGATGACTTTGAATTTTCCATGAGCTGGCAACTGATATTGTGCGCACTAATGGTGTGGGTCATTATCGGTGTAATTGTTTATAAATTCTTTCAAACCGAAGTGGTAAGTCTTTATATATTTTGTATTGCACCCATTCAATTCCAACATATAATGTTCATATTTTTCCCATAGATAGGCACCATTGTCCGCTATTCTGTAATGCTGGTACTTGGACTAATGTGTTTCTTCTTGATTGGCTTTAGTTTTCTACCGGGGACGGGGAATGTATTTCGTTATTCATTTACGATGCATTGGCGTGATATTTTACCGGGTATTATTACAACTCCCATGCATGGTATGTCGGTATTTGGACCGGGTTGGGGTATTTATCTAACACTTTCCAGTTTCAATAAATTTCGAACAAATGTCGTTAAACAAAGTTGTCTGATTGCTCTGGGACAATTTGTGGTTTATGTCGGCATGGATTTTTTGAGAAATTTAAGTGATACGTTCTTTTATGGTAGGTTTGTTGTGGATTTAATTGTGGACTAGAGGTAAGGCTATATATATTTTTTTATTTCAGAAAAGACAAACTGGAGTTATTACGCCAATGTGGAACATATGTGGATTCTGTATTTGTCAGGTGGTAGTGTTTTGACACATTTCCCTTGGGCCAATTTGTGGTCTATATTGTTCTATTTTATGCTGTTCTGGTCGAGTATGTTATTAATGGTAAGTCTGAAAGAGTTTGCAAGATAAATCTGGATCTAAGTATTCAAAAACCTCAAAACGTCTTCAAATCCCGTAAATTCTTTCAATTTCGTATAACATTTCTTTCAGATCCTTCAACTTCACGCCATTCTAACATCCACATTTGATGAATTCGTTTTTCTGCGAGAGAAAAAAATACAGGTTTCCTTCGGTTTAATAGGTTTCCTAGCTATGACTTCAATATATTTCTCGTCAAATGTAAGTAACGTTGCAAATAGATATATTATTAGATTCTAATATTCTAAGTTTGGTTTTAGCACGGCATAACATATTTATCTACCTTGGCAATCGATACATATATCACACAAACCGCCATAAATCTTCTACTTATTTTGATAGTCCTCTGGATCTATGGTCGGGAACGTTTCCAACGTGATTTTGAATTTATGACAAGTCATCGATTTTCTACATGGAATGTGTATATTTTACGATTTATAGCACCAGTGGGGATGGTGTTTGCATTGGTAAGACTATTATTGTAACCTGTGGTTACATGTAGATATTTATACCCTCCTCCATAGTATGGAGGCTACATTATTTTTGTCATTCCGTTTGTAACACATCGAAATATTCATTTCCGACCCTATATGTATATAATTCAAAGACGATCTAGCCATGTCGTCCGTCCGTCTGTTGTAATCACGCTATCTTCTGAAGGAATTGAGATAGGGTGCTGAAATTTTGCATAAAGTTGTCTTATCGGTTCATGTTTAGGCATAGCTCCCATATAAGGGTATCCCCCAATTTTCGGTATTTTGAGGTTCTTGAGGTTGTCTTTCAACCGAATTCGCTGAAATTTGGTTCTTTGAGTTCTTATTGGGTAGCAAATCTCCCTACTAACAATTATAAATATAGGTCCATTTTTTCTGGTACCCCCCATATAACGGTTCCCTTCAATTTTCGGTATTTTGAGGTTCTTGAGCGCATTTTTCAACCGAAATTTGCTACATTGGGTTCTAATTGTACTAAATGTCTGCACAAAAAATTATTAATATAGGTCCACTTTTTCTGGTGGTCCCCATATAATGGTACCTCCTAATTTTCAGTATTTTGGTGGTTTTGATCGTATTTTTCCACCGAATTATTTAGTATTTTAAGTTCTTAATAGGTACCAAATCTCCCCACAACATTGTATGAATATAGGTCAATTTTTCGGATATCCCCTATATAAGGGTACCCCCAATTGCAATTTGATATTTTGTAGTCGTATATGGTAACAAATCTCCCTACCAAAAATTACTAATATTCTCCCCCTTTTTGGGGTAGTCCCCATATAACCCCATTTTTATACCTTTCACCACACTGTGGTACAGGGTATTATGTCTTTGTTCATATGTTTGTAACAGGCAAAAGGAAACGAGATTGACACATGGTTCCCTTTGAGAATATGCCTAGAATCACTTTTTAAGTCGATTAATACATGTCCGTCCGTCTGTCTGTCCATGTTAAATTGTAAACAAAGTACAGGTCGCATTTATTATCCGATTTGGATAATTGGCCCAAGGACGAACCCTATTGAAATTTGGAAAAATCGGTTCAGATTTAGATATAGTTCCCATATATATTTTCGTCCGATTTAAGGTACATGGGGCACCAAAGTCCCTTTATATCATTCGATTTGCACGAAATTTTGCACCGGGTACTGAATTAGGTCCAGAGATATGTGTGCCAAGTTTCGAGAAAATCGGTTCAGATTTGGATATAGCTCCCATATATAGCTTCGTCCGATTTAAGGTAAATGGTGCACCAAAGTCCCCATATATCATTCAATTTGCATGAAATTTGGCATAGAGTACTGAATTATGTGCAGAATGATGTGTGCCAAGTTTCTAGAAAATCGGTTCAGATTTAGATATATACTCCATATAAAATATCGTTCTACCTTAAGTAAATGTTGCACCAAAGTCCCTATATATCATTTGATTTGCACGAAATTTGGCACAGAGTATTAAATTAGGTCCAGAATGATGTGTGCTAAGTTTCGTGAAAATCGGTTCAGATTTATATATAGCTCCCATATATAGTTTTCTCCGATTTTATGTATATGGTACACCAAAGTACCTATATACCTTTCGATTTGCATAAAATTTGGCTCAGCGTACTAAATTAAGAGTAGAATGACGTGTGGTAAGCTTCGTGAAAATCGGTCCAGATTTAGATATATCTCCCATATATATTTTCGTCCGATTTAAGGTAAATGGGGCACCAAAGCCCCTATATATCTTTCGATTTTCACGAAATTGGGCATAAAGTACTGACTTAGGTCATGAATGACGTGTGCCAAGTTTCGAGAAAATCGGTTCAGGTTTAGATATAGCTCCAATATATTTTCCCAAGATTGGACGACCCGCACACAATTTTGGACAAAGTACTGAAGTTACTATAAACTTTCGTGTGTCAAGTTTTCTTGAAATTGGTTCTGATTTACATATAGTTCCTATATGTACTTTCGACCGATTTTAAGTATATGGTGTACTATAGCTAGACCGATTGGCAAAACGTACTGAAATTAATATAAATTAATCTCGGGCAAGTTTCCTTGAAATCGGTTCAGATTAAGATATAGCATAGCTTCCATATATAATTTCGACCTATTCATGTTGATTGTGAACCAAATAATCAATGGGTGCTTGATTGATATTACATTTTAAACAGTGACCTTATAGATAAAGATCGCATTTTTATGTTCGTTCAATTTTATGTCAATGTTCCTTCGAAAAAACGACATATGTAAATATACATATGTAGAATATCCCCAAAGTGGTGAAGGGTATCATATAGTTGGCTCAGTCCGACTTTACTACTTTCCTTACTGGTTTATATTGAAATTGTTATTTCATTTGTTCCGCGTTTTGAGTTTCTTTCTAAGACTCTGATGTAATCATTTCACCTGCGGAGCATATCGAGATAAAAAGTAGAAAGTAAGGTTCGATAATGAACTATAGCCCGAATTTACACTTAGCCCCTGTGTGGAGGTTCCAGAAGGAGTGGACCGATATTCCTAAGTTTGGTAGAAATAATAAGATGGGCAAAGTTTAGATGAAATCTAAATGTTCTGAAACGGATTTTGTCCAAAGGAACATAGGGTCTAGAACCAATATTTCGATGAGGCATAATTATCCATTAAAATATTCTGAAATTTGTATTATGGTTTACATAATCCGTTTTTAGAAATGTCGGTATAGGTCCACTTTTTGGTATGTTCCCTATATTTTCATTTCTAGTACCTATCAGTATATCTATGGTGGAGGGTATCCAAAATTCGGCCCGGCCGAACTTTTTCACTTGTTATATCTAATTTGTTTCTATTCATTCCTATTTTCAAGATCTGTGGCTTCTTTATAGCCCATTATGAACATCAAATAACATCATCCGCTATCGATGGACTGGTCATAGTTTTCACAGTTATTCCTTGGCTGGGTATACCAGGATTTGCCATTTATCAAATGTCCCGCTCAATGGGTTCGTTTAAAACACGCTTCCTACGATGTTGCCGTCCCACAGATTGGTTCCCCATTGAAACGGAAGAAAAAGAAAAATATGAACAACTTGTTGGCAGTGTGGAAATAACTTATACCCTGAGTGAACTGAAAGATGAAGAAGTCATTTGAAATAGCGATTTGCATTTGATGTGTTTATATTGTTTTATAGCTGTTATTTCGAGTATAGTTAAATAAATAAATTGTTTTCATTTCCGACCCTATAAAGTATATATATATATATATATATATTCTTGACCAGCGTAAAATTCTAGGGCGATTTATATATATATATATATGTCCACGTTTTCTGATAGCCCCATATAAGGGTACCTATATGAATTAATCAATATTTGCAAAGGAACAGTTGACTTCTTTATATTTGAGATAAAGAAATAGTTTGACTATTTTGTTAAAAGAATGTTCCAATCACATATCTTAATCAGAGCTTAAAAAACTGTTTTGAGTTTTTATACCCTTCACCATATCTTTGTGCATATGTTTGTAACAGGCAAAAATAATCGACCGTCGTCTGTCCATGTTAAATTGTTAACAAAGTACAGGTCGCATTTATGATTCGAATTGGATGAAATTTGGCACAGCTCATTTGTTTGGCCCAAGGACGAACCGTATTGAAATTGGGAAAAATCGGTTCAGATTTAGATATAGCTCCCATATATATTTTCGTCCGATTTAAGGTAAATGATGCACCAAAGTACTTATATATCTTTCGATTTGCACGAAACTTGGCACTGAATTAAGTTTAGAATAATGTGTGCAAAGTTTCGTGAAAATCGGTTCAGATTTAGATATAGCTCCCATATATAGTTTCGCCCGATTATAGGTAAATAGTCCACTAAGGTCCCTGAAAATCTTTTCATTTTTACGAAATTGTGCATAGCGTACTGAATTGCGTCTATAATAATGTGTGCTAAGTTTCGTGAAAATCGGTTCAGATTTAGATATAGATCACATATATAGATTCGCCCGATTTTAGGTAAATGGTACACCAAAGTCCCTATATATCTTTCGATATGCACGAAACTAGGCACAGCGTACTGAATTAAGTTTAGAATGATGTGTGCAAAGTTTCGTGAAAATCGGTTCAGATTTAGATAAAGCTCCCATATATAGTTTCGTGAAAATCGGTTCAGATTTAGATATAGCTCCCATATATAGTTTCGCCCGATTTTAGGTAAATAGTCCACTAAGTTCCCTGAAAATCTTTTTATTTGCACGAAATTGTGCATAGTATACTGAATTGCGCCTATAATAATGTTTGCTAAGTTTCATGAAAATCGGTTCAGATTTAGATATAGATCCCATATATAGATTCGCCCGATTTTAGGTAAATGGTGCACCAAAGTCCCTATATATCTTTCGATATGCACGAAACTAGGCACAGCGTACTGAATTAAGTTTAGAATGATGTGTGCAAAGTTTCGTGAAAATCGGTTCAGATTTAGATAAAGCTCCCATATATAGTTTCATGAAAATCGGTTCGGATTTAGATATAGATCCCATATATATTTTCGCCTGATTTTAGGTAAATAGTCCACCAACGTCCCTGGAAATTTTTTGATTTGCACGACTTTTGGCATAGCGTACTGAAATAAGTCTAGAATGATTTGTGCAAAGTTTCGTGAAAATCGGTTCAGATTTAGATATAGCTCCCATATATATATATTCGTCCGATTTAAGGTAAATGTTGTACCAAAGACCCTAAGTGGTGAAGGTTATCATATAGTCGGTCCCGTCCGACTTTACTACTTTCCTTACTGTTTTTTTTTTTTACTAATTAGGAAAATTAGGAAAATTCTAAATAAAGTACAGGACACATTTATGATCTGAATGAGGTAAATTTGGCACAGCACACTTATTTGGCCCAAAGATGAACCCTATTGAAATTAAAAAATCGATTCAGATTTAGATATAGCTTCATATATTGTTTTGCCCGATTGTAAATTATGCACCAACCGAGGTTTGTCCAATTGAGACAAAATTTTGCATATCGTATTGAATTGAGTTTAGAATAATGTGTGATAAATTTTGATGAGATGGTTTTAGATTTAGATATAGCCTCCATTAGACGAAATTTTGAATACCCTACCATGTTGAGTCCACAATGAAATGCGCTAAGTTTCGTTGAAATTTGTTCAGATTTCTCCATATATATTTTGTCCGATTTTATTTAAATGGTGAACTAAACTCATTATTTCTTGGGGTGGCTCAGTAAGCCTACAATGCAGAGTATTCAATTTCGGTTAAACTGGTTCATATTTATATACAGGTACGATATTTATAGTTTTAAAATTTTGCACCTAATACCCAACCTTTGTCCAATAGCACAGCGCACATAAATAAATCTCGAAAAAAAACGTATGTAAAATTTGCTTTAAAAAAAGGTTAAGATTTAGATATTACTTCCATATTTCATATATCATATATTTATAAAGATCTTGTATTTTAATTAGTCCGATTTCGTGTCAGTGGTCTCCCAAAGATGCTACGTTTATTCTATCGGCAAAATTATTAGAGAATGATGTATGTTGTACTTGGGATATATCGGTATATAGCTTACAATAAGAATCGTGGGACTATTTCTTGTGTATACAAAGTGGTGTTATTTCAGTTACTCACAGAAAATCTAATTTTTTTGTCAATCTTTTGCTGCACCCCCCATATCATAGTATAAGGGGCGCCGGACAATAAATATAATACTTGAATTGATGCAACAACAACATATTAATATATTATGTGTTGTTGGAATTTCATAATATATCGATTCTTGGGATTATTTTTAAGAAAACAATTAAAATTCTTTAGAAAATCTCAACACAAGACAGATTGTGTTTTCCAGTAGCTGTGTAACATGCAAACAATAAACAATTCGTTGTAAAAGAATTATAATAAAAAAACATATGCTCGTACATACATATGAGGTGATAACATTATCAACTCATTTATATGCAAACACAAAAAAAATGTATTGAAATTAAAAATTGTCTTTTTTTATACCCCCCACCATAGTATGGAGGGTATATTAATTTTGTCATTCCGTTTGGAACTCATCGAAATATTCATGATCACGGTAAAATTCTAAGACGATCTGGCCATGTCCGTCTGTCCGTCCGTCCGTCTGTTGGGTGCTGAAATTTTGGGGTTCTTGAGCGCGTTTTTCAACCGAATTCGCTGAAATTTGCTATTTTATAGTCGAATATGGTAACAAATCTCCCTACCAATTTATAATTTTTAATATTCGCCCTCTTTTTGGGGTCGTCCCCATATAACCCCCTTTTTATACCCTTCACCACACTGTGGTACAGGGTATTATGTCTTTGTGCATATGTTTGTAACAGGCAAAAATAATCGAGATAGACACATGGTTCCTTTTGAGAATATACATAGAATCACTTTCTAAGTCGATTTATGCATGTCCGTCTGTCCGTCCGTCTGTCTGTCCATGTTAAATTGTAAACAAAGTACATGTCGCATTTATGATCCGAATTGAATGAAATTTGGCATAGGTCACTTATTCGGCCCAAGGACGAACCCTGTTGAAATTGGGAAAAATCGGTTCAGATTTAGATATAGCTCCCATATATATATATATATATTTAACCGATTTAATGTAAACGGTCCCTATATATCTTTCGATTTGCACGAAATTTGGTACAGCCTAATCATTTAGGTCTAGAATGATGTCTGCCAAGTTTCGAGAAAATCGGTCCAGATTTAGATATAGCTCCCATATATAGTTTCGTCCGATTTCATGTAAATGGTGCCCCAAAGTCCCTATATATCTTTCGATTTTCACGAATTTTGGCATAACGTACTGGAATGAGCCTAGAATGATGTCTGCCAACTTTTGGCATAACGTACTTAATTGAGCCTAGAATGATGTCTGCCAAGTTTCATGAAAATCCGTCCTGATTTAGATATATCTCCCATATATAGTTTCGTCCGATTTCATGTAAATGGTGCCCCAATTTAGGTCTAGAATGATGTCTGCCAAGTTTCTTGAAAATCGGTCCAGATTTAGATAGATATAGCCCTTTTTATTATAGATTGATTTTAAGTAATTGACGCACCATATATATTTTCGCCCGATTTCAAGTAAATTGGGCATCAAACTCCTCATGTTAGTCAGATTGACATCAAAGTTTGCACATCGTACAAAATTAAGCATAAAATTATATAGTTGCGTTTTCTAGAAGTACATACATAGCCCAACGGATGACCTATTTATATTTGTTTGAAGTCGATTTACATACTTTATGGATATATCTAGGTAAATTCACATTTAGAAAACCAGTGAGCGGAGCAGTATAGTCGGACGGGGCCGACCATATGATACCCTACACAACTTCTATGAAAATCTAATTTTGCGTTAACAGGTCAACAAATATTACTAATATTCAATAGACGAGGGCTGTACTTCTCCAGATTCTCTTTGCCGTAGGTTATGTTGTGAGGTTGGGCTTTCAATTGCGCCCTATAGATCGACTCAAAAAAAAAACACACACACACAAAGTTAAGTTTTCGGTCCACTTCATCCCAAAATTATTATCTGATCATCACCGAAAATTATAGGCGTTGTCCTTGGCCATAATTGGAATCTCATGGAAAATTTTAAAGCCATCAGCGCTATATTTCCGCCGTCTAGTGTGGTAATGGGTTACTAAATAATGTCTGAGTACGTAAGCACCTGTAAATATTTAAGTGTAACTCCCACATCTGAGGACATACGACCATATAATTGGTACCAATTTAAAGGTCAACCACTCCTCTTGAACATACTATCAACTTCTCTGGTCTAGGTCCTTCAGGGGCAAATATATACGCCATAGAATACACATTTGGCCACTTTTCACACAAAAGTCAGGGTCCATTTGACCCGCTAAATATTGACCGATCTTTATCAAAACAGGCATGCTTATTCTTTGGCCCAATCCCTTTCTCCATAAAAATATTCGCGGTGTTTGGGCCATTACTGCGGGCTCGTGAGCGACCAGAAAAACCGACAAAAATAAAGTTTTTGGTCCATTTCGTCCCCTAAATATTAACCGATCTTTTCTAAAAACAATAGGGGTCTTCATTGGCCAGAACCCATCCTATATGCAAAATTTCAT